CCAGGGTCTGGCTTTCATGACTAAATCTTACAAAAGAAAAGAATCACATTTACTGCAAATTCAACTTCCCAGTCAAGAGAAGACACCACAAAGAGAGGTTTGTCTTTAGCATCACACACAATATACAAACTGCCTGCTGTGCAATTGAAAGTAATGATTGTGGGTGCCAGATCCAGAATGTGGGTGCATTTGAAGGCCAGCATTACATTATATCCTATCAACAATCTGATAGAAAGCACAGTTCGCATTTCTAAATACGTGCACATCAGTAGAAAATTAAATGTACTAGCTTGCACTTTCAGATTTAACATCTGTTACAGTGATAATGCAATGGCTTCTGGATACTGACTTGGATGTTTCCCATCCCCAATAATTCAAACATGTCACTGACCCCCAAAACACTACAGATAAGGCAAGATATTTACCTGTTAGCTCTTTGTTAACAGGTAAACTGTAATCTTTCAGTTCGGTAATTCAATGAAATGATGGCATCTCAATGAATAATCATCATTAATCAGCTTTTAATCAGTTTTATCCCAGGAGCATAATTCTCTTGTAGTTGAATGACCACACACAGTTCATTGCCAATAACAGTTATACCACAATTGCAAAACCACGATTCCCAACTAGCATGATTCAGAGCCTACACAACAAGTCTTGGGGACATAGTCAGAGCAATTGCCGTGAAATTTGCAGTGAAACATAAAACTAATAATTTGGTCGTTCGTCTTAACAATCTGGATAATTATTTTGATAATCAAACTATCATATCATAGAAATCTGGATACTATCTTCTTAGGCTGTCAAGAACATCTAATGCTTTCATACACCATCCCCTTTTCTCTCCAAAATGGTATCATTGTGTTCTTTGTTAAAAAAATCTTATCAATTCGCTCCCCCCACAAAATAAACTTTGTTTCCTAATTTAGGGCTCACAAGCACTTGATTAGTAAACTTATGCCCATCTCCATAGATGCCACAGCTTTCAATATTTTCACAATTTGTCACATTTCTCCCGCCCGAGATGATCTGGGTATGACTGGTCAAGGGTAAGTCTGAATGTGAATGTCAGAGAATGCCTTTGAGCTTGGACTCCTTGTGCACAAGAGAGATTTAAATGAAGAAAATAGTTCTTCATTTAAACTGTTCCTAGCAACGTCTGTTTTTGTTTCAGATTTCCAGCATCTGCAGTATTTTTCGTCTTGTTTAAATGAAGGATTTTTTTTGTCTATCTGATCTCATCTTTTCAGAATATCCACCCGACAGTCTTCCTAGCAAAAATCTTTTTTTAAAAAAAATCAGTCTGGCTTCAATCACCCTTCCGGATAACCTGTTCCAATCATTAGCTAATTACTGTCTGAAGAGAAAAAAAATGGTCCTGATTCAAATTGCCCTTTGCAACTCAAAACCCATGTCCTCTTGTTCTTCTATCTTGATGAATCTGAAAGTATTTTCCTGGGTTTACTTTATCAATCCCATTTTAAATTGCGTATGCCTCTCTAATGTCCCTTCTGAGATGGCTTCTTTCAAGACTGAAGAGCCCTGACTGGGATAGTGGTCCTTCAAAGTCATATCACTGAATCACGCGTCTACTTGAGCTTTTCTTTAACTTGAGGTTTTTGCATATCAGACTTCGGAATGATCTTATGAGCACATCTGCTCGGTGTGCGGAGAAGGGAATTATGTATCTCCATTTTGTTTCCCCAGTGGCGACATCAGTTGTTCTTCGCTGCAAATATGTCACCAATCACATGCAGTGCAGAGTACTCCAAGCAGTGTTCCATGAACAATCTGCCTCAGCACTAACTTCAGAAATGCACCTCTGCACAGTGCGATCCATCTATTTCCAGCACTTTGTTTTAATGGTTTCTCCGCATGACATTTCTGAATTAGAGCCAAGTTGGAGTTGGGTTTTGTATTATGGCTGTTTACTTCCTAGGAACTCTGTGTGGGCACTGCTTCACCTTATTAAAGGATGATAAGAAAGTAGGTAATCCTCTCCTCCAGATAACCGCATGCAACAAGGTACGAGGGCAAATCTCTATCACAGTGTGCCGTACGTTTCTTCCAATCTTCAGTTTTACAGCATGCAGTATGTTGTACAAGCAACATTGATTCCAGATAAAGTTCACAAAGCTGATGAAAAAGCGCAATATTGAATGTTTTGTCACAATAGCACAGCTGTGTGTTGAATCTCAGTCGTAACCAGTACCGAATGTTGCACAAGTTCCACTTGCCTCTGGCACTGCAGAATTAATTTTACTGTTTGATAATTGTCAGGCTTTTTTGAACTCATAGAGTCTTGCCAGACACTCCAGTGGTGTCATTATCAGAGATGCCGTCCTAAGATGTTAATCAGAAGTCCCATATGCCTGTTCAGCAGGACATTAAAGATCCCATTGCACATTTGCAAAGAGAATGAGGGTTTCTCCCTGTGTCCTGATCAACAGTCCCCCAAATAAAATTAGTCATTCATTTCATGACTGTGTGTGGGACAATGCTGTGTGCAAATTGAATGCTGTATTTGCGTATAATATACAGAATCACTCTACAGCATATCCTGTGAAGCATTTCTTGTTCCTTATATGCAGAAATGGAGGGTCATTTATGATTTGCTTAAACAGAGCTGTTAGAGTCTGGGAAAGTTTTGATTTTCAATTAATTATTTACTGCATTTTATTTGCATTTACTGAACATCTCATGCTTGTGGCCTTGATTTATTTTTTAAAAACGCTCGTGGAATCATAATAAGTTTGTTACTAAAACAAAAACTTGAACTTAGGCAATGCCTTTCAATGTAAAGAAACATCTGAACGTCCTCGGGAAATGCAGTTGTGGGCAGCCAACAGGGAAAAGGAGGATTTAAAAATGGTGAGCAAAGGCTTGGATCAAAGAGAAACACTACAATTTACATTTAAATAATGCCTTTCTCACCAGATAAAGTATTAACCATATAGTGTATAAAGTTCAGCTTTACACGGCTGAACTGGGCAACCAAGCCATGGTGGATTTAAAGGAGGATTTTCCTTGCTCAACTCTCGATCCCTATGCCATAAACTTCCTGGCAAAGAATTTGGATGTTTCAATGCTTATTATTAAATGGAACCATCTTGGAATGTAACCAAGCACATGCTCAGATTGGATGCCATCCCAGCCATCCCAATTCGTGGCCAATATTATCCTATACACATAATGTTATTGGTTTACTCCAATTTATTAGTGAAATGGGGCAGGAGGTCAACCACAGTATCCTGGATATTGAGTTCCCAATGTGGATACACAGGACCAGAAGCCAGAAGTGTAACATACTTCCAGTAATTGTGAATTGGTCACCAACCTTCTAAGCGACGCATACCTTAGCAAAGCACATTATAGCAGAGTCGTCCTGTATTGTGATGAGACAGCAGTCAACAAACAATAATAAGATACCTAACCTCAGCACACAATGGGTAAAGAACAGCAATGCTACACAGTTATGCTCACGAGTACAGTACACATAAAATAACACATGAGTGGCAGTGCAAAACACTACAGTAATTGAATGTTGGGCTCTAATAACATCATAAACTGTGAGAATGAAGCTTGAGTAGTCCATCAATGTTAGCAGTACTATAAGGTTAAATGCTGCCTTGTTTCTGCCAACTATTTTCAAATTTTTTATATGGTATTTGCCATTTACGTTTAGAGCTAAAGCATACAAGGGCCTGATGTCGCTTCCTGCTGCTGGCTGGCTGTCTAAAGGTGTGCGAGAATGAGCACTACAGATCGGGTAGATATGCTGTGTGAAGTGCAGTTCCCGAGATAAAGTGCTTCATTTTTAATTCAACAAAAAATTGCACAGGGATATTAGTTCTGAAGTGGGTCATGGGATATATTCTTGACAACACGTTTAGAAGAAGTGATAAGGCAATATCAAATATCAAGGATTATTATTATTATAAGAAAAAACGATTTTTGTTGGGGGAAAAAATTAATATTTCCTATGACAAAAGCTGCACCCCCACATGGTGGACAATCAATTTGGAAATTTAACTGTAGGATTATTGGCTAACACACCTGCGAGAAACTCAGTTTAATGTCTCATCTAAAAACGTGGAGATCTGTAGTTCAGTGGTTACAGCGCTTGCCTCGCAAGCGAGAGACCTGGGTTCGATTCCCGGCAGGGCAAAACCTTGGAAAAGGTTCCTTACTCCACACGCCTGATAATAATCCCTCGAGAAAGAACCCATAATAAATTGGTCATTTCAATCCACGACTGTTTGTGGGACACTGTTCTGCGCAATTTGCTGCCACATTTGGCCCACAAAATATATATAGTCAATTCACTTTACAGTATATTCTGTGAAGCGCTTTGAGACGTTTCAAAGAAGTGAAAAGCGCTATATCAAATGCAAGGATCATTATTATTATTATTATTAAAAGTAGGCACCTCTTACAATGCAGCACCCCCTCAAACTAGACTTTTAGATTCTATTCTCAACATGAACCTTGAACCCACAACGCTGTGACCCAAATGAAGTCCTAATATTCAAGCCTCTTTCAAAGACCCTCAGAAACACGATGGGTCAAATGGCCTAGACTGTTTGTTTCTATAGTTCTACCTAATCTTAGTCTGCACGACATGTTTGTCTGAAAATTTAAGATAGCGGAGAATTGTGGATAATTCTTAAATTTGGTTTCAATGATAGTGCTTTATCTGTTTACCAGTGGGTGGATTACACACATGGTTTGGAGGAAGAAGGCCCTTCAACCCATTTGTTCTCATCCTTCCAGAATACCAGCACCTTGGGACGTTCTCCCGACATGAAAGGCGCTACACAAATGTAATTTTGTATTGTAATACCCACTCTGGCATATTCCCATCACAACATTGAGCTATGTTATTTAAATTGAGTCCAGCATTCTGGCCTCAACCACCTTTCCTAGCAACCTATTCCAGTCATTCTTTACCCTCTGGGTAAAGAAATACTTCCTGGCGTCTGTCCTGAAATTGTCCTTACCTTGTGATAGCATCGGAAGTATGCAGCTCGCTCATCAGAAAACTTTTCTAGTCGTTTTGGGCCTTTGCTTGATGCTTTCTTTAAGACAAGCCAGCATCTCTGATAAATCTGCAAGCAAGAAAATAAAATGGAGAAACAAATCAATTACTTGCATTCTGAGGCATCTTGTGATTACGTTGGACTGAGAAAAACAATTTAATTAATCCTAAACAATGTAAAATTAAAAAAGAGCCCACTGTACTTTCCAGAAAATGGGAATGTGACTAATATAGTATCTTCCTTTTCTGCACTATATCTTTCTGTTCTTCATTTGCTGTTCGTTCTCAAACTCAACAAGAACCTGCATTTATATAGTGCCCTTCATGGTGGATAGTGCCTCGGAGCACTTACCAATGGCTTAGTTTGAAGCTGAATCAGAGAGAAAGGGGAGATGACCTTAGGCACGGTCGAAGAAGGAAGACTTGAGATACGATTTGAACAGACAGATAAAGAGGGGGTAAGACTGAGGGATTGAGGTTGGGAGTTCAAACTGAGTTCAAATTGCTAGAGCACTCTCTGGGGGAATGCGGAGGTAGAAGGCCTGTCATTGGCTACAGATTGCTTTGACTGACACTGAAAATGTTGAGATTATCTGCCAACTCACTGCTAAAACAGAAAGCATAGAGCAGATGTAAATGGAACAACAGAGGAAAAGGAGAACAACTGTCCCATTAAGTCTACATCACTTAGAAAATCATGGACTGTGGTGCGAGATGCAGATGCAGAGATGTAAGCAGTGGAATGTAGACTGAATAGCCTTCACTGCTCTCTTCTGGTTACCTCGGCGTATTAATACATGCAGCAGATTTAATGTATGCTATAACTTATATTAATGGTGGTGTTTCCCAGTATCAGTTGCAGATCAGCTTTTAATCATGAAATGCTGTACACTGTCCAGCGCCTTGGGACGTCCTTCTGACATGAAGGGCGCTGTACAAATGTAATCTTGTTGTTGCAGTGATCAGACTTTGCATTGACAGCCATGTCTATACATACAGGATATCTTTCCATTCAACTGAGCTAGGATATGTTACCAAAGCAAGATAATTACTAATGTAATTTTTGAGTTCACGAGGCAGTTATAAAGCTCTAGAGCATTCTATGCGGTTTATGACAATCTGCACACATTTAATAATAATATTTGTTTACATGTAATGGCTCTTGGTGGGATATTGCTGTGCACAAATTGGCTGCTGCATTCGCTTACAAAATATACAAAACACACAGTCATTACAGTTTGCAGAACATCTAGTGAAACACTTTAAGATGTCTTCCGTGAAAGGCGTGATATCAAACGGAAGGAATATGATATATTATTTTGGATTTAGTACATCCATAGATTATTGCATGTTTATTTCATTTTAAAATATTCATATATATTAATCATAAAAATAAGATGTTAAGGTATATCTGATACATAAAATGAAGTGTTACCATTAATTAGCTGAAAAGCATTATTAATTGGTTGACAAAAAAGCTAAGCGTTCTCATATTTTTATATAAAATATAAAATAGTAATGTTAAAACGAGATCCGTCTGCCTCTTTAGGTAGATCTTAAAGATCCCATAGCACTATTCAAAAAGAGAAGGGAGTTTCTCTCTCCCAGTGTCCTGTCCGACAATCTCCCTGATAGGATTGCTCCACGGATGTTTGTGGGACATTGCTGTGACCTATTGTGCTGCACCGTTTGCCTACAAATACACAGTCACTCCATTTCCCAGTAAAATCCATTGGAGTCCTGTAGCTCAGTGGTTAGAGCACTCGCTTTGCAAGTGAGAGACCTGAGTTCAATTCCAGGCAGGGCGAAACCTTGGGCAAGTTTCCTTACTCCACACAGAACCTAATAATAATCCCTCCAAAACTAAAAACAATAATTAAATTGGTCATTTTCAATCTACGACTGTTTGTGGGACATTGCTGTGCGCAATTGGCTGCCGCGTTCGCCCACAAATATACAGTCAATTCACTTTACAGTATATTCTGTGAAGCGCTTTGGGACGTCCTCCCAACGTGAAAAGCGCTATATCAAATGCAAGGATTATTATTATTATTATTCTGTGAAGCGCTTTGAGACGTCTAGAAGATGTGAAAAGCGCTATATCAAATTCAAGGATTATTATTACATCCTGTGAAGAGCTTTGAGAGGTCCTTTTGACGTGATAAGGCACTATACCAAATGCAAGGAATATTATTATTATTACTTTTCTAAAATCAAGCGAGTGGCAAGAAAGCTTGTACTCGTCACATTTGAAGAATGATATTTGAAAATGATCCCATTTATCAAAAGTGATAATGAACATTTCAGGCTAGGAATAAGAAAGATACCTTGAACTGATTAAAGAATTTGGCTGACTAAATTTAATGAGCTCCTTGACATCTATCCCTGTAGGAAACACTGCATCATCGAGTCTATCATTTACTCCAGTACAGAAATATTGACACAGCACTCAGACCAATTATTACATGTAGTTTACCAGGTAATCCATTTGCAATATTACATATGCAATAGCTGCAAAACAGACCTAGTAAGTTAACAATGTATTTTTGGATCCCTCACCCAAACTGCAAAGATGTGAAGAATATTGTATTTTCTGTAAAAAGAGTGTATTGAGTCATTCATAACGTGCTTTATTTTTAAACGATTTACTGCTTTGATGGTCTATTCGAAAAGAGAAGGGAGTTTCTCCCGATGTCCAGGCCAACAATTCTCCCCCACCCTCCCCCATACAATTGGTCAGTCACTTTGTGGCTATTTGTGGGACATTACTGTGTGCTAATTAGCGGCCGCATTCGTCTACAAAAATACAATCATTACACTTCACGGTATATCCTATTAAGTGCTTTGAAATGTCCTCCCAATATGATGGCACTATATAAAATACAAATGCAAGGATTGTTATTCACAGGGCCAGGTGCTGCAGTCAGAAACGCGCTTTGAGACGTCTCAAAGACGTGATAATAATCCTTGCTATATCAAAGGCAAGGATTATTATAATACATTATTCACAATTCACAAGAATTTTGTCTTGTGAACGATTCACAGGACAAAATTCACTAAATAAAACATTGTGCTACGCTTAGCCCTGCTAAGCTCTAGTGCTCAAATTGGATCCTTATGCACATGCCTGCCGGTTTGCCTGCAAGCAATAGAGGTGAAGTCTCTTGGTCTGAACGCACCCACAAAGGCTATTCACTGCATATACTCACATCTATTCTTCCTTGCATGTGCACTTACATAAGAGATGACATACTATGCATAACAGGAGCATTGGCCCATTAAGCTTGTATTTTACTGCAAAGTGGCACAAGTGTTAAGACTGGTGCAAAGTAAATTGACTTACACCAAGGCATGAAATCAATATTTTATTAGGTTTACTATTGCAGCATCGAGATGGGTACAAATTGGATGATAATGTGGCTAGCTACACTGCTCGTCACCAAGTCTGCTCAGTCTCGTGGGGTAAAAATAGCTGCAGAAAGCACGGTTAGGTGAAGAAACCGTTCTTCCTTGACTGTCTCTCATAATTGTCTTTGATTTAAGGCAATTGTGAACTTGGTCAAACAATTAGGAGGCAGCAGAAGAGAAGCACGAAAAACAAATTAGTAACGTGGTAACACAGCAACACAGCAAAGTACCAGGTTTTAATGATACTGGCATGAATTTTAAAAAAAGTGCTAATTTTAATACAGAGTTAAAGTAATTTACAATCCACTCTGGGAAAAAAAATGTTACTGAGCAGTTGACAATACCAATAAAGAATAGATGTATAGTGTATAAAGGGAGCTTGTCAAATCCACCTCCACTGCAGAATGCATAAAATTTGTCCCTTCATTGAGTCTACCAACTCATTCAATCTCCCGAGGGAGGCAACCAATTCATGGGTATGTCACCAATAAGACATTTCTATCTGTTTCTCAAGAGAGATGAAAAGATATTAATGCTATCTTACTTCCCATAATCAAGGCATAAGCCGATCCTTCTCCCAGGTGACTATCCTAGATCCCAGCAGCACATGAACCATCATATTCCATTGTTATTTCATCACTTCTTTCCATTCTTTTCCTTGTAAACTTAATCTCTGTCTTAGGCCAGACTTTTCTGTTAAGGAAGATCCCGGTTGTAGCATTAACTGTGTTTAAAACCAAATCCTGCAAACTCACTTAACAGCTAAGGTGCCACATCAAATGCAAGGAGTATTATTATTATTTATATAAAATATGGTCCGCAGGTGTGGCAAGTCAACTTTGTGTTTTGAACCGTTAAACATAACTTGAAATAAAAGAGGATGGAATCCAATGATCTGTCTGCCAATCCTAAATCTGTATATTGATTCCATTTCTCATACACTCTCTTTTTACCTTGCATTAGTCAGAGCTCCTCATGCTGCAGGCTGAATTGCTGTTCCAATGCTGGCATTTTTGAGAGTTCAAGGTCCTTGTCCTCACGTTCAAATCCCTCCATGGCCTTGCCCTACCCTACCTCTGTGATATCCTACAAACATACCGACCTATCCACTTAGCTTAGCATCGACCTCCTTCACGTCCCCCATCCGATCCGCCCCACTATTGGTGGGTGCGCTTTCATCTATTCTACTTCCTTGCAATGGTACTCCATCCAGACCCCTTTCATCTTGTCCCCTCCCTCCTGACTCTTAATGCCCTCTTTAGGACCTACTTTTCAACTATGCTTGAGGTCATCTATCCCTTTCCCAAATCAGGGACCCAGTCAGCAGTAAATGTAAATTGTTCTTGCATTCTATCTATGTATTCATTTTTCTTGCGCACACCTTTTAATACACAGGGATGCTCACTGCAAGATGTCTTGTGAAGGACAACCAATTCAATCAGTGCATGTGCATGACACATCAGGCAACTCCATTTAGATTTCTTAATTAAGAAATCCCATTAAGAAATACTATAAAATTGTCCTTTTGGCAGTTATCTCCAAGGCATATATTTGAGGTACCCTCTTATTTATTGGTTCGCATTTCTCTTTCAAATTTCCTTTATGTAATAACATTTTTTTTCACAATCTTGAGGTCAGTTCCATAAAACCTGCTGTCTTCCT